GACACCATGAAGAGTGAATTCATTTGTTCATTCCGTGTTTAAACTGTACTGTTGGTAGATTGTGATCTTCAACCCACGAAATGCTTGTCTTTGAATGGACTTAGTTATATTCTGCTTGAATGGACACCTCTGGCTCCAGTTAAATATTTTCTCTTGTACCCACACGACAGCAGTGACAATTGGTTAAAACAGATTTTAAGATACAATATTTTGTATTTTTACCTTCAAATCTTTAAAAAAAAAAATCATACCTTCAGGATTTTTTTTAATTACAAAAATTCTGTAAGAACTGTTTTGTAAAAGAAAAATTTTAAATGGATATTATTCAATCAGCAGTATGAAATCTTTTAAGGTATATACTTCAATAACTAAAAAAAGAAACTAAGCACCATAAATAAAAATCATACTGGAATCTTCTCCTGTAACATACACTACTTGAATAAGAGGAGGTTTTTCTGAATACCCTGTAAACTAGATTTAAAATGTTATATACTGTTGAAGTCTAAGTTATTAATGTTTGTATTATTAGAAAGACAAAAACTCCAATATACCTTCTGCTCCCCTGTTTCCTCTTCTTCTGGAATCCCAATTATTCTAATGTTGTTTCGTCTTATGGTGTCACTTATCTCTCGAATTCTCCCCTCGTGGTCCAGTAGCTGTTTGTCCCTCTTTTGCTCAGCTTCTTTATTCTCTGTCATTTGGTCTTCTATATCGCTAATTCTTTCTTCTGCCTCATTTATCCTAGCAGTGAGAGCCTCCATTTTTTATTGCACCTCATTAATAGCTTTTTTGATTTCAACTTGGTTAGATTTTAGTTCTTTTATTTCTCCAGAAAGGGCTTTTATATCTCCCGAGAGGGTTTCTCTAATGCACCCGAATGTTTATAGCAGCAATGTCTACAATAGCCAAACTATGGAAAGAACCTAGATGTCCATCAACAGATGAATGGATAAAGAAGATGTGGTATATATACACAATGGAATACTATGCAGCCATCAAAAGAAATGAAATCTTGCCATTTGCGACGACGTGGATGGAACTAGAGGGTATCATGCTTAGCGAAATAAGTCAATCAGAGAAAGACAACTATCATATGATCTCCCTGATATGAGGGAGAGAAGATGCAACATGGGGGGTTAAGGGGTAGGAGAAGAGTAAATGAAACAAGATGGGATTGGGAGGGAGACAAACCATAAGTGACTCTTAATCTCACAAAACAAACTGAGGGTTGATGGGGGGAGGGGGGTTGGGAGAGGGGGGTGGGGTTATGGACATTGGGGAGGGTATGTGCTATGGTGCGTGCTGTGAAATGTGTAAACCTGGCGATTCACAGACCTGTACCCCTGGGGATAATAATATATTATATGTTTAAAAAAAATAATAAAATTTAAATTAAAAAAAAGAAAGACAAAAACTTATAAAGTTTAATTTCAACAGAAACGGAACCAACAGCATTTTAATTAATCAAAGAAAATCATATTTCTTTTTGAAGGTTAGGTGAGATCATATTGCTTTATATATGCAACTGAACTATAAAAAAAATAAGCTTTTGGCAGAAAAATCACAGAGTACTTTCAATAATATCGACACGAAAATTGCAAGCTGCCAAATGGCTGTCCTTAAAACTTCTATACGTTACTTAGGACATAAGACAGGCTTTAAACTAATTTCCAAAACACTTAACCTGTGTCTTTCATGTAAAAATCTAAAAGTCGGGGCGCCTGGGTGGCTCAGTGGGTTAAGCCGCTGCCTTCAGCTCGGGTCATGATCTCAGGGTCCTGGGATCGAGTCCCGCATCAGGCTCTCTGCTCAGCGGGGAGTCTGCTTCCCTCCCTCTCTCTCTGCCTGCCTCACTGTCTACTTGTGATCTCTCTCTGTCAAATAAATAAAATCTTTAAAAAAAAAAAAAATCTAAAAGTCGGTCACGTCAAAGAGAACTGATCAGACTTCTAGGCTGTTCTGTCTCTATTACTAAAGTAAATCCATTATGTGAGAGCCTCTCATCGGATGAAGGAGAAAGGGAGGGAACACAGAATTCTATTACCAATTTCTTTGTTGGGTTGGCTACTCTTTGAAACAACAGGAGGAAATGGGGAAGAGTCCCCTCTACCAAGCTTCTAAGATTCACTTATGCTTTAGTTTTAAGAGTTCATATTTTTTAGGAATGTTTAATTACAAGAGGCAGATTATTTTGTTTGAGAAGCCTATTTTCTCAATCTGTATCAGATATGCCAAGATTCTTGAGGGAAGGAAATTACCAAGCATCTAAAATGAATACCACAGTTTGGCATAAGGATGCCAGTTTTAAAGCCTAAAGATGTCAGTTTTATGGCTCCTGTCTTTATCTACCATGGAGTCAGGATCTATAGCTCGAGTCCACATAAATGCCTTCTCCAGTCCTTTCTGACTTTGATCTTGACATTGACTGAACCCTTAAATTTCCAGAGCTTTTCCTCCATGTGAACTTGAGTTATGATGATATACTGTGAGTCAAATAAAGAGTAAGACCACAGTAATGCAAGCAATTATTCTCTGAGAGAAGTTAACTGGCTAATATGATACATATTATTATCTGATTGAAGTCATTATTCTAAATTCACTGTTTAACACAATCTCCTAGGTTTTAAGCACACTAGTAAAATTTAGTGCCGAAAATTATCAATATGACTATTTTATAATAAATTTATAAAACACCAGCATGACAGAATTATTTCCCTTTTAAAATATTTACATTAGAAACGTTTCTTAAAACCTAGTCTATGAATTATTATTCAAAGTCATATAAATAAAAGATTTTATGTTAACTTTGTTTTTCTTCATAACGTTATTCTGTAGTTTAGCAAAGGACAAGATGGATGTCCTATCCTAAAAATCTAGGTACCAAATGTTGAAGTCCAGAAAGTGTTGGGTTAGATGGCCTTTACAGTTTACAAGGGTTGTTATGTAAAGAATCACTATCAGATACACAGATTATAGAACAAAGTGAACAAAGTGCTTTTAAATGACCTTAAAAATATTCAGAACCAGTATAATAATTTTTGCATAACTTTGGAGTTCTGGGGTTTAGGAGAAAACATTAAAAGAAAAACTTCAAATGGAACTTTGATTCTTTGACACTAAAAGTACTAACTTTCTATTTAAGCTTCATAGACACAGACTGTCTCTCTGAATAAGGCCATATTTACTATACACTAGTGATCTGGATAATGTTGACCCGATTTGTTTTTATTTAAAAATAGAGAACATCCATATATGAGAACCACCAATACATGAATATCCGTGAATTAAGTCTAATTTAAAAAAAAATAGAAAAGAAGGAAAAGAAGGAAGTGTGGATGGGAATCAGTAAACATTCCTAAACGGTCTTCAAGAGGCAGCAGAAACAAAACAAAACAAAAAACAAACAGAAAACAAAAAACCCTAAAACATCCAGATAATGACATGTTAGTAATTTCGGAATAAATATTTCTCAGAGTCAAATATTAAAGACTATCACATAAAAACTCCACATAGTAACAGACAAACATTGCCCATTATAATTAAAAGCCCACAAACACTCCCTCTGACATTCACACACATTTATATTGCAACTAGTTTCAGGAGAGCTGTTAGAAAGACAATATACACATTTTATGTAGGTTTTTTTTTTTTTTTTAAAGAAACACATTTATAAAAACAAATAAATGAAAATTCACAATTCTACCAACTGGAGATCTCTAAGTGGCCTAAGACTCAAACAAATTGGGAGTAGGATTCAGATTCGAATAGAATCACACTGATTTCCTTCTCGTGTGACACACATTGTAACCCCCAGGCACCAAATGAGTAAGAAGCCTGCAGGACCCCAATGTAGAAATCCCTCCAAGGGCGAGGGAGGTGGCCGCCGCGGAGGCTCTGCCAGCGAAAACTCATCGCACTTAGGAATGATGCAACCTCTGGTTAAACTGTACACTTTCCGATGTCACAATCCATGCGGCATTCTATGACAAGGGGGTTTTCCTTCTGCCCAGACTCAACGGGGCAAGAACGAGCAGGCTTTGGCATCAGTGCTCCACCTGAAGTATCCGCTTGCTTGTGAGATTTATACTATACTCGACCGTAGTTTGGCTCTCTTAAACTGTAATTCCTGCGCAATACGCGTCGACAAACTGACAGAAATAACAGGAGATGTGAAAAATGCGACAATACTAAAACCAGATGTTGGGGTAAGATTCCAGCATCATTTTACTTGTGCGTTCGTCTTTTAATGTACAATCTCTGTACTGAAAACAAAAGGCTTTTTTTTCCTCTTAAAAATACCTAGAACCATGAAATGTTTAGGGAGATGGAGGGGGAAATTTATGGGATGGGGACTTGACAGGGGTGAGGGGATGGGGTGTAGAAGAGAAGCTGAGAGAACAGGAGTGTGAAGGGAGGAAAAGAATGCAGCCAAATCCACACTATCTTTTTCTCAGTAACCCTACCTCATCCTTTTCCTGCACTTGTTTTGTTTTAATCTTGTCTTGTAACAACTCCAAACAGGCGAGTGGAAGGTCAGAGATACTCTGATTTCTGAACAAGCAAGGAGCTAAGAAGAACAAGAACAACTCTTCTCAGGCCCAACTGCCTTTGTGCCCAGGAAAGTAGTAGATTTTCTTCCCCTGATTTTACCAAGGAGTGTCTTACCGGAACCTTCTAGCTTTGGAGGAATAAAAGCACTGCATTTGAGGTTACATTTATAAGAACACCCACGTTCAGAAGTCAAGAAGGGTAGCCTTGCTAGTTAGCTGCTCAAAGTGTGAGTCATGGGTTTATTACAAACAACCACAAACACCCCCTTTCTTCAAAAGATTCACTTAAATATTCTACTGCGAGTTTCTTATTTGTTTGGTTGCCGTGAAATGATGATCCGAAAGCTATCACAGGCACCACGAGCTCTCGTCCTCCCACAAACACCTGCTTTAATAGTCAAAAATAAACAGCGAGATTTGGTTACTCTGCATTTTTATGAACAAACTTACATGATTTCCTGTTGGAAACTTTCAAGGGCTGAACTAGTATTTCTGGTCGTCTCAGAGCCAATCTCCTGGGGGAAAAAGAAGGTCAATGCCTATCAATTTTCAGTACAGATCCAAGATTAATATAACACCAAAATATTAAAAGTCCCAAGGGAGGGGGGAATGGGAAGCCAGGGGGAAAAAATGAACACAATGCAATCTATTCAAATTAAAAAATAAATCCTCTCCTTTTCAAATTTTTATAAGTCATCCCCACTCCAAAATCACTCTTCTTTCCCCGCCATCTTTCACATCAATACAGTTTCAGATATTAATGTGCTATTTTTCCATTTGCTTCATAACAAAAACTGAATATGACCGGGTCCTGTCATATTATTTTTGGTCATTATTCATCCTTAGTTAGACAAAACAGAAATCCAAACCTGAGGGATAAAGGGTTCTAAAGCAAGGTTTTAGTGCTCTTTTTATCACAACTCTCCTCCACTGCTATTTTGCAGAGAACAAAAGGTCATTTGAAGAGAGACCACTATTCTCGCGCCAGCAGCTCACCTTTCCTGGAAATGCTTTGAGGGAATCAAGCCCGCCCTGGGATTGGCATCATCCGCGTGCTTTGCCTGCCACCACGTAACATCATCTTGGCTCATAATCTGAAGAATATCTCCCTTTTTGAAAGAAAGCCCAGCTTCCTTACATGGAATTGCTTTATCCTCACTAGGGTCATAGTCAAAGAGGGCTTTGATAAACATCTGGAAGAGAGTTTCATTTAAAAGGAATAAATATTAAAAAAAATAAATAAATAAATAGGAAAGGGCCAAGATTCTTCTTTGATTTAAGGATACTTTTTGTTTTTAAAGAAAAAAGAATAATTTTTATTTTATTTTTTAAAAAAAGATTTTATTTATTTATTTGTGTGAGAGAGAGAGCATGAGAGCATCAAGGGGGAGGGGGGAAGGCAGAGGGAGAAGCAGGCTCCCTGCTGAGCAGAGAGCCCGTTGCGGGACACGATCCCACGACTCTGGGATCAAGACCCGAGCCGAAGACAGATGCTTAACCAACTGAGCCACCCAGGTGTCCCCACAAAAAAGAATGATTTTTTTTTCTCAAAAAGAGAATATGAAAATGAATTCACTGTGACAAAGAGGATGGGGAAACATTAGCACCCCCCACCGCCAAAAAAACAAAAACAAAAAAGGATTTTTAAGGAATGATTACCTTGCCTTCTTTAGATGGAGTCTCCTCTTTGATGCTGGGTATAATCTTAAAGGTAATTGCTCCCTGAGACTGAGCCTGGTAACAGAGGAAAGACTTATCAGAGAACTTCTAGAGCCCAGGAGAAGGAAGGCAAAATAGGCAGAAAAGGGAATGATGCTGAAAATTAATAAGCTTGAAGTTTCTACTCTTAGATAAACCAAACTGAGAAAACTATTTTTGTAGAAATTCCTGCAACATGAGAAAGCACTTGAGCTCAAGTAAGTTAAAAAACATGAAACACTAAATGCACTTGACCTCCAGTGCACTTTCAAAATGTATCCCCATCCACACTGAGCTACTTTAAAACAGAAACACGGAATCTGCAGACTGCCTGATACAGACAATATTAAGGATGATGTGCAAAGTTCAGATGATACATTTTAGTATTGGCATCCATGTTTTTAGGAACAAAATACCTGTACTGTCAGCAATGCAGTTGTATGATTCACTATATAATACACACACACACAGACACACACACACACACACACACACACTAGCTGCAATGCTCAGCAGAAAAAAATAACGAGCATTCACTGCTATTATACTCTGGTTAGTGAGTAAAATGCCAAATGTAATAGGTTAATTAAAAGAGAAAAAGATTAACTATTAATTTAATTAAAGCAAGCAACAACAATACAGGCCATTCTTTTCCGACCGTCTCAGACCAGAGCAGATGTCCCTTTCATACCCTCTCATGTCTTTCTCAGTTTCTTTTTAGCATTTCTCCTAACCATACGAAGTAATCATTTATATGATTATTTCTTAGTATCTGTTATCCCTGCTAAATTCTAAGCTTCACGAAAGCACTAAGTATCTGGCACATATTGGAGAGGAAGGAAGGAAAAAAGAAAAGAGGAAGATGAGATCAGGCAGAGGAAAGGAAGGAAAAAGGAAGGAGAGGGAGGGGAAGAGAGAGAGAGAGAGACAAGGGAGACTGGGTAGCTATCTCTGAGGTGCACTATCATAAACTAGGGCTCTGTTCTGGGGGCAGCTGAGAGGAGGCCCTGATTAGTATTGTTTGTCAACGTCCATGGGCCACAGCCAACTTCCATTTACCAGTGGAAGTAAACAGTGTAAGTATCAGAGTTTTAGAGCAGGAGTGATTTCAAACAGGTAATATCACTGTTATTACTTATCATAAAACAACTGACAAATCTTATTAAGAATTCATAGAATACTGAACTGCAATGGGGAAAGAAAGCAAGTCTTCTCTATAATCTCTTCCCATTCTACAATGTCCATTCTACAATGTGTGTGTGTGTGTGTGTGTGTGTGTGTGTGTGTGTGTGTGTTAATGTGTTCAAAGCCCTTAGAACAGTATCATTAAGTGCTCAACCACTGTAAGAATTACTAGGATTACAAGTCATATTGGTCTACCAGCCATTGTGATTGCCATCATGTGGATGAATGATTAGTCAATCAGTGCAACCCTCTTGCTATTTCTAAGTATTTTTTACAATCTTGCTCATATAATACGCTTGCCAAATTATTTCCCACGGGTTAATTCCCAACAACTGAACTTCTTGATTAAAGGGTATGCAAATTTAAAATTCTAATGGTAGACAGCCATCTCATAAGGATCTACTAAATTCATCCCACCACTGGAAACATATGAGTAGGGCTACATGCCCAGACTCTAGCCATCATCAGGCTTTCAAATCCCTCTAATCCAGTATTTTTCAGACATCATGTTTTCTTTTGTAAATCTTTCTATAAATATTTTTTCTCTGATTTTTGTGAACTTTTTACACATTAAAATACCTCCTATCATATATATGGACAATATTTTTCCTAAGTGTCATGTGTCTTTCAGGTAACATATGGCATCTTTTCCCATACAGAAAGTTTTCAATTCCTGCCATCGCCTCAGTTATCTTTCTATTTGAATTTCACATCAAGTTTAAAAAGTCTTCCTTTACTTTTTGACTTTTTAAAATATTTAATTCATTGGGACTTGTTTTGGGTGTAAAACAGGGACTGACTTTCTTTTTTATAACTGAATCATCAATGTATCCAGTACCATTTATGAAATGACTTCCCGGGTTTCCCATGGATTTAAAATGCCATCTTAATCACATACTAAATATTCATATATACGGCGGTCTGCTTGAAGATACTAAACTCTTTTTCTGTATGTTTGCGTTTTCATACATTACAAGCGAAAAGTCTCCCTCATTTTATCCTTACAAATGAACTGGAGAATTAATACTGTCAAGGCCTAAAATAATTTTGTTCTGTTTTAGATTTCACAAGGCATCTAAATCAGTTTCACTGTTTTCGATACCTAGAAAGCATAGCCAAGAGTTTGCCCATGTCCATGGGAAAAGGGAAAAGAAAAATTCATCACGAATGACAGAGTAGATGCCGTCTCTTAAGTGCCCATTTGAGACAGGCCCTGAAATAAAATCTTTATATACATTAGTCATTTAATCCTCAAAACACTGCCATGAGGTATTTACCTCTTCTTGCTCTCATTTTGTAAATGAAAACACTGGCACAATGCAAAGAGTAAGGTAATTTCCAAGGACATACAGGGATTAAGTAATAAAGCTGGGATTACAGCTCTGGACAGCTAAATCCAAATTCTGCATTTGTAACCAAGTCTGAAACATACTAATTCAATTTCATTTTTATTGCAAGTTTAAAATACATTTTCAGCTTACCAAAATCTGAATTATTTCCTCAGGCCTTTTATCCTCGACTGGAATCCCATTCACTTCCCTAAGTTCATCACCAACATGTATAAGACCTGAGAAGTAGCAAATTGGGTAAATTAGCAGAGTTACCTACGAAAGAACCACAATTCTCAACTGTGTCCAGACTCCGAGCATTGTTTGGTGCCCTGAATACATGAGGACACCTTTACGCTTCTCTGGTTTCAGATTCTGTGCCTCTAAACAACAATGAATCAAAGAATACCACGTTATAACACTGCCAAAGAAATGACACCAGCAGCCCGGCCTTTGTCTAGAAACGTGTATTATTTTCACCTAACAAAAGAATTTTTATCTTGTTTTAAAGGCTGCACACATGCAGTCGTCCTTTTTGAATCAGGAACACTTGAAACAGACCCTAATATCACTCTGGAAGCCCATGTAAACTGAGATTGTAAAGTCGAGTGAGATGTATCATGTATTTCAACAGGTTTCCACAGTTCAACACAGAGCAAAGTATCTTACTGTTTTGATGTATTACATCAAAAGATCGTTATCCTCTTAATTACATGTAGGAAATGTTGCCCATGAAATGCAACATGACTTGTCCACGTGGCTGGTGTTGAAACCCTTACCACTTCTCTCTCTCTCTTTTTTTTAAATCCTTACCACTTCTATCCGCAGCACCTCCTCTCATGATTCTAGCCACAACGATGGCTCCAGTCTGCTCGTCTTTCTTAATGGTAGCTCCCTTTGAAGGAAAACAAAAAAAAAGTACCTGTGGGTAAAGGTGTGCACTGGGTGACAGGAAAGGGAGCAGAAATAAGGACATTTATCCGGAAAAAGTGAAAACAATTACACAAAAATTAAAGGTACGAAGCAGGAGGAACAGACACCATGCCCCTCATTGTACAAACACTCCTGACTTGGGAAAAATTTTCTATCAGACAGAACCTCTCCAGTTTTCAGCACCATTTAAGGATTTTTCAAGTCTTTAACCTCTTCGACACGTTGAAAAATACAAATATCTTTTTTCCATTATAATGCCTTGTATTTGAATATGATTTGTTTTTGCCCCTTGACAGCATCTGCTCATCTCACTTTGTCTTTCTAATACCCATGAAGAAGGTGGGCTCCACTGAGATTAAGTGAATACAAAAATCTCATATAAATTAGAAAACTGAAACCGAGGGCATCTGGCTTTTAGTTTCACGATCCTTTATTACACTACTATGGTAAAGGAACTCAGACATAATGACAAAAAAAGAGAAAAATTAAACTCCGAAATTAGTCATATTCCTTACCTAGTGCTAAGATAAACTAATGGGGAAAAGATCTGTAACTCCAAGGTCTTCACGTACTAGGACTGCACTTAGTACAAAGAGAACCAACATTCTGGCATAAGATTAGGAAACAATTTCAAAAAGGATCCCGAAATTCTTCACTTATGGATGTTCAGAAGCAAATTAACTGAATGTTGCTTTATAAGAACATCAGGCACAAATGGTTACTTTGAACACCTTTTTATGACTTTCCTTCTAAGAAACTGGCATCGGTGTACGAATGCATTCTACAACGGCAACACACAGCTAAAAAGATGCACGTTAGATGGTGGCAGAATTCACCGGAAGAAGAAAGTCGCATTTTTCTCACAGGTCAATACACACGTGTGTATCATTAAAAAAGGTATGTAAACAAAATTAGGAATACATTTATAATAAATATATTTTCTATGACAGCTATCAGATACCTAATAATGGTTAAAAAAATCAAATAATTAAGTGATCAGATAATTTTGTGACACTTTTCTTCACCAAGCATGTGGTCATGTCCAAAGATTTAAATGAGCATCTCTCCACAATTGTAAACACCAGACCCATAAAGACCCATCATTAACTTACTGTTAATGGTAAGTTCTGCTTTTCTTTAAAGTTTACTTATAGCCAAGATCACCAGAAATGTAGTATTTCTAATAAAACTAGTGTGATTACACAAACTTTCATTTGCCTTAATAATATCTCAAATCCTCCCATCAGAGTATGCCTAATGGCAGAAGGGTCTGGTAACCTAATTTAAAATTAATTACCCGTTTTTTCAGAGGGTTCTTTTTCCCCCATACTTTTCTTTTTTTAATTGAGGTAAAATTGGTATGTAACATTATTATGACTTTCAGGTATACGCCATTACAATTTGACATATGTATGGACTACAGAGATCACGAGTAAAAGTCCAGTTACCACCCATCACTATTTACTTGACCCCATTTTGTCCCCCAACCAACCTTCTGGTAGCTACCAATCAGTTGTCTGTATCTACGAGTTTGTTTTATTTGTTCATTTGCTTTTTTCTAGATTTCACATATGAATAGAATTATATGGTATTTGTCATCCTCTAACTTCTTTCACTTAGGATAGCACCTTCAAGATCTTTCCATGTTGTTACAAATGGCAAGATTTCATTCCTTTTTAATGGTGGGGTAATACTCTGCTGTTTATATGTACACACCATATCTTCTTCACCTGTTTGTCTACTACTGGACATTTAGGTTCTTTCCAGGTCTTGGTTATTATATATAATGGTACAATGAATATAGGGGAGCATGTATCTTTTTTCTTTTTCTTTTTTTTTTTTTTTTTTTAGATTTTATTTCTTTATTAGGGGGAGAGAGAGAGAGAGAGAGAGATCATGAGCAGGGGGAGGGGTAGAGGGAAAAGCTGACCCCCTGCTGATCAGGGAGCCCAATGAGGGACTCAATCCCAGGACCATGGGATCATATCCCGAGCTGAAGGCAGACACCTAACCAAATGAGCCACCCAGGCACCCAGGGCATACACCTTTTCAAGTCAGTATTTTTATATTCTTCAGATAAACAGCCAGAAGTGGAACAGATGGATCATATGTTAGTTCAATCTTAATTTTTTAACAGTATGGAGAAGTCTCCCTACTGTTCTCCATAGTGGCTGCACTAATTTACATTCCCATGAACGTATACAAGGGTTCCCTTTTCTCTACATCCTCACCAACACTTGTTATATCTTGTCTTTTTGATAATGCCCATTCTAACTAATGTGAGGTGACACATCAAATGCAGTTTTGATTTGCACTTCCCTAGTAATTACTGATATTGAGCATCTTTTCATGTGCCTATTGGCCATCTGGATGTCTTTTTGGAAAAGTGTCCATGCTGATCCTCTGCCCATTTTTTAATTGAGTTGTTTGGGTTTTGTTTTGTTATTTTATTTTATTTTTTGAGTTGTATAAGTTATTCATACATTTTGGACATTATTCCTTATCGGATATATAATTTGCAAAAATCTTCTATTCAGTAGATTATCTTTTCATTTCAATGATTCGCTGCAGAAGTTTGATGGAGTCCAATTTGTTTATTTTTGTTTCCCTTGCTTTTGGAGCCAGATCTACAAAAATACTGCCAAGACACGTGTTGAGGAGCTTACCACCTATGTTTTCTTCTAGGAATTTTACAGTTTCAGGTCTTTCATTCAGGTCTTTAATATAATACTATGAGTTCATTTTTGAGTATACTGCAAAACAGTGGTCAAGTTTCATTATTCCACATGTGACTGTCCAGTTTTTCCCAATACCATTTATTGAAAAGACTTTTCTTCCTCCGTTGTATGTCATTGGCTCTTTTGTTGCAAATTAATTGTCCATACTATGTGTGGGTTTAATTTTGGGCTCTCAGTTCAGTTCCATTGGTCAGTGTGTCTGTTTTTATGCCCATACCAAATTGTTTTGATTACTGTAGTTGTATGATTTCAAATCAAGGAGCATGAGGCCTCAAACTTTGTTCTTCTTTCTCAAGGTAACTGTGGCCATTTGTGGTTCCATACAAATTTTAGAATTGTTCTAGTTCCATGAAAAATGTCCACGGAATTTTGGGAGGGGACTGCACTGAATCTGTAGATTGCTTTAGGTAGTATGGACATTTTAACAACATTAATTCTTCCAATCCATGACCATGAACTATCTTTCCATTTATTTGTGTCTTCTTTTTCATCAATTTCATGGTTTTCCATACACAGATATTTCACTTCCTTGGTTAAATCTATTCCTGAGTATTTTATTCGTTTTGGAGACTGTTTTCTTAATTGCTCTTTCTGATAATTCATTATTCATGTATAGAAATGCCATATTTCTGTTATGATAATTTTGTATCCCTGTACTTCACTAAACCCATTTATTAGTTCTAACAGTTTTGGTGCAGTCTTTGGATTTTCTACATATAATATTATGTCAACTGCAAATAGTTACAGTTTTAGTTCTTCCTCCCTTGGATGGTTTCCACTTTTTTTTCTTGCTTAATTGCTATGCCTAAGACTTCCAGTACTGTGTTACATAAAAGTGGCAATAGGGTATAATCCTCTTCTTGTTTCTGATTTTAGAGGAGAAACTGCCAGCTTTTTACCGTTGAGTATGATGTTAGCTGTGGGTCTGTCATATATGGCCTTTATTATCTCTCCTCACTTCGTTGAGTTTGGATCGTATAAATGGATGTTGAATTTTCTCAAATGATTTTTCTGCATCTACTAAGATCATATGATTTTTGTCCTTTATTTTGTCAATGTGGTATGTCATGTTGATTGATCTATGGACATTGAACCATGCTTGATTCCCTAGACTAAATCCCACCTGATCGTGGTTTATGATCGATTTAATGTATTACTGAACTCACTTTGCTAATATTTTGGTGAGAATTTTTTCATCAGTGTCATTAATGATATTGGCCTGTAACTTTGCGTATATGTGGTATTCTTGTCTAGTTTTGGTATCAGAGTAAAGCTTTAAAATTCATCAAGTGCTCCCTCCCCTTCAATTTTTTCTAAGAGTTTTAAAAGGATGTATATTAAATCTTTGAATGTTTGATAATCTGTGAAACCATCTGGTCCTAGACTTTTATTGGGAAATTCCGATTATTAATTCAATATCCTTGCTAGTAATTGGTCTATACAGATTTTCTATTTCTTCATCACTTGGTATTAGAAAATTTTATGTTTCTAGGAATTTATCCATTTCTTCTACGCTGTCCAGTTTGTTGGCATATAATTGTTCATAGTTTCATGATTCTTTGTATTTCTGTGGTGTGAGCTGGAACTCCTCTTTCATTTCTGATTTTATTTGAATCCTCTCTCTTGATGAGTCTGGCCAAAGATTTGTCAATTTGCTTTATCTTTTCAAAGAACCAGCTCTTAGTTTCATTGACCTTTTCTATCATTTTGTCTCTTTCCTTTATTCCTGCTCTGATCTTTAGTATTTCTTTCCTTCTACTAACTATGGGCTTCCTTTTTGTGTAAAATTAGATTATTTAAGATTTACTTGAGGTAGGCCTGTACTGCTATGAATTTCCCATTTAGAATCACTTTCACGGATTTAAAAAATTTGGATTTGTGGTGTTCTTATTTTCATTTCTATCCCTAGGTACTTTTTCATTTCTTATTTGATTTCTTCAATGATCCACTGATTGTTGAACAGCATGTTGTCTGATCTCTATATTGGGAGTTTTCCCAATTTTCTTCTTATAATTAATTTCTAGTTTTATACCATTGTGGGTGAAGATGTTTGATATTTCATCTTCTTGAATTTGAGACCAGTTTTGTGGCCTAACATGATCTACCCTGGAGAATGTTCCACATGCAGTTCAGAAGAATATGTATTCTGTTCTTTTTCGATGGAATGTTCTGTACATATCTATTAAGTCCTTCTGGTCTAATGTATTGTTCAAAGCCACGGTTT